AAAGAAATCCATAGCCAGTCAAAGCAAGAAAAGCTCTTTACCTCTTCCTCAACTGCATAAAATAAAATCTAAACCTTTCCTTTTGTAAAGGAAATTTATATTCATAAAGGAAATTTTCATTAGTAAAGGTATGAGACAATTTTATCCCCTGAGAGACTGAATTATCTGCATAATAGGGAAAACTTTATTCAAGATACATTTCCATTCTCTTCCCTCCCTTAATTTTTCCCTACCACCCCTCAGAATCCCCAAACCTGTACCCTTTCTGTAGGGGAGGATGACATGTAAACCTCAATCACCAGGCCACTTATTTGACTTGCATATTTTTGTGGGACTCTCATGTATAGGATGAAATTTAAGTAGTTCTTTTCCTGTTAATTTATATTATGTCATCTTAACTTGCAGACCAGCCAAATGTGTTTTTTCTCCACTATGCCACCCTCTCTTACATACTTTTTTGAAATACAGGAATTTGGCTTAGTCTCAGTAAAACCACTTTACTAAATTTCACTAGTAAGGCATGATAATCATCTTTTGTTTATCTTAAACAACTTTCTAAAAGTTTTGAAATTAGTAAACTAACTGAAACAACTATGTATACACGAGCAACAAAATAAAAATTTTCAGGCCTTTTTTTTTACATTGTATATGTTTGATGAATTAATGAATGTAGAATGTAGATAATTCCTGAGTTAGTACTGAGTACCGTATGGGATATGCTTGCTTTACTGATTTTTCCAACCAAATTTGCTTATAAATTTCTTGTAGGAATGTTCCAGGAGAAGTGGAGCTGTGTTCTTCAACAATTACTCATGAGGAGGACTCTCCACAGAAGAACAAGAAATCCGGGAAAGAACTCATAAAAATGTTTTCCTCTACGCAACTCTGTAATTGCATCTGCTCTGCTGGATGTTATCCAAAGCTATAATAAGAGAATATTTGAAGCATTGAGGTCAATGGTGCAATTCCAAAGTGATTCTTTTATGTAGTTATTAATTATAGGTTTAATTTATTTTTTGTTCTACAATATGTTTTAACACTTGGCAACATACAGAATTTCAAATTCAAATTTATATTGTTTTATGTTGGTTTATAGTTTGCAAAATTAAAAGCTAATTTGCACACCTAGTCAAATCCTTAGCAGAGCCGACTTTCTGATTGGAAATTTATCTGATGTGTGTGATATCATCAAGTTATCACTTAAATTTCTTAGCTCCTTTAACTTTCCCTAAGGACCTTGCTAATAATCTTTGTGATGTGCTACTTAACCTTTTCTGATTTTTCAATGTCACATGTATGCAATAAATCCAGAAATGCACATTTGTGTTTGGAAAGGAATCTGACAACCCCTGATTTTCTATTTTTGCTTCACAAGAATGGTACAGTGGTATCCATTTCTGTAAAGCTAGACTTTGCAAGGGCAGCCATTGAAACCGTAGTTCTCTAATAAGCAAAGAGCCTTCTTGGAGCAGTGATGAAATTGTACCTTTGAATAAAAAAGTAAAAAATCTTTTAAGAAATTAGAAAAGCCAAGTGATGGACTGTGCAATAGAGGTCTTTGCCTTTTTGTTCTGTCCTTTTGGGCCTCCCCTTGGAAATCTCTTGTTCCCATTACCCCTGCCATATCTGTACCAACTTAACTTTGGTTGTGACACATTTGTTTTCTTTCCTTAGTGCTGCTGAGTTAAACATTTTTCAAAATAACAATAAAAACTAAGCAGAGATATATCTTTAAAATAAGCAAAAGACATGCAACCTGAAAGTTACCAATTTTGCAAACTACACGCTTTGGAATTAAAAAAAAAAAAACAGCAACAAACGTCAACTGCAAAATACTGGTGTAGTCTTGCACCCTTTCCTCCCAGCATCTCATATTCTTTGCCTCTGAGTGTCACGTCCCAGCCGAAGACCCAAATAAGTGACATCTTCCCAATTTTCTTTGTTGTTCATCTCTCAAGACTAGAGATTAAATAAGAACACTAATCCTTTGTAGGTTAAGTATGTCCCTCCCAGGGCAAAACTGATGTAGAGATACAGAGCAATAACCACATCAGCCATTCTTCTCTTCCCCTTTCTCTCTCTCTTTAGAAAAGAGGCAAAGCTTCCTGCTAGGCCTTTCAGGAAGCAGGTAAGGAGTGACACGAGGAGACAGAAAGATTCCAAGAGTAGCTTGGAACTAAGGGTCAAAAATCCCTATTCTGCCTAGGCTCAGAGGATATCCTTTACTATAGGCATTCCATATTGCACAGGGTAATACTTTCTATTCTTAATGATTCAAAGGCTTCAAGAAAGAAGTAAAACCATCGTTGTCAACTGGGGCTGATTTTGCCTCCCAGCAAATGTAAAGCAACTTCTGCTGACATTTTTGACGATCACAACCATGGAACTACTGCTGCCTCTAAAGGGTAGATGCCAGTGATGTTCCTAAACACCCTAAAACACATCAACGAATTATCTAGAGAAATGTCCATAGGACTGAGGTAGAGAAGCCCTGCACTAAAAAAGCTAATAAATTTGATCTCATGTAACATGCCACCATAAAATGAAGAAAGCCAGGCACAGAGAGCTTAAGCAACTTGCGTTAGATTGCACAGAGTAATTTTAAGAGTGAGAGTCTAGTGGATCCTCAGAGCCCTTGGTCTCTTTCTATGTATTAGTGAAGTCTATGAGTCAGAGCAGCATGCTTTACCTGCCCTTCCTACTCTTCCCTCATACTTCTGTGTCCTGCCCACCTCCCATGAGCATGCTGGGTACCATATGTTACCAGTGACCTGGAGCTCATTTAGGCCAGGCATGTTGAGTGCACCTTCCCTTGGGACATTGAAGATAGCCATTGCATCCTCACCTGTGAAGAAAGATCACCTCTTGAGTGATCCAGAATTCATTGACTTGGTCTCACACCTGCTCCTGAGAGAAGAATATAAGATAGCTGTTTGATTAAGCTTTAAAGAAGTTAAGAAGATTAACCACTTTAAGTAACAAGGAAAAGGAAGGCTACAAACTGTAAACTCTTGTTTTTATAATGTGTTGACTTCAATAGTAGTCTCCCTGGGCTGAATCACTATTTGAGGATTAACAAAACTCACTGGCTAATTTTTCATCCTTCAAGACTCAGCTAAAGCAAAGCAACCTTCCTTTCCGCTCATCAGTCTGAGTTAGGAGGCCTCCCTCAGTGCACACAGGCATGCTGGCCTTACCTCTGGCACAGACCTCACAATCTCACACTGCTTTTTAAAGAATCTGTTTATCCTTTCTTCTTGACAGACCATGAATTCTTGGGGAGAGGGGGAGAGGGTGGGTGTCCTTTATCTATATTCTTAGAATCCAGTGCAATCTCAGCATAGACATTCAGTAACTGCTTCTGAATAGCACCCATGTTTTATGATTGTAAAAATGATTTTAAAAATATTAGAATTTTATAAATCAGAAAAATGAGTCAGAGTATAGATGAAGGTTAGATGACTCAAGCTGGAAACTCATGAGCTATTTTTGGCTCATTTTAACAGCTGGGAGTCAACCCTAACCTGGTGTTTAATTTCCAGGGTTAAGAAGACCAGGGAGACTGAATAGACCTAAACATGATTTAGTAGTCACTTTACACATGCCTGGTCACTATCACCAAAAGTCACTATAGAGTTATTTTAATGGCAGGGATTACAAATCTGTAAACCCATCAGCATAACAAAACAATACAAACAAATAAAAACACTGATTTGTTTGCATAAGTGCCAGGGAACCATAAGTATACCTTCTTTCAAGAAAAAAATGTAAAGCTCCATTAATATTTATTAGTCTGTACTTTGAGAGTAAGTTGGCCATGGATAGAACACAATCTGGTTACTTAATTGTTTATTCAATAAGTCCTTTCTCAGCTATGGATTTGTTTAAGGCTCTGTGGCAGGAATTGTGGGAGGCTTCATGTAATAACCATCTTTAACTCTACCAGACTTTATCACTGATTTAAAGAAAGGGAATAACCACCCTCCCCACACATAAAAATGACAAACTATTTACATTTAGTAGACCAAAGGTTAAAAAGTACTAGATTGTGTTTTACAGAAGATGTTTGTGTAGATGTTGAGAAAAAGGGAAGCTCTATAACAGCTGAGAACAGGAAGGTAAGACTTGAGCTGGTAATTCTTATTCCTTGCTGGGCTTTCTAATTACATTGTCAGACAGGTTCCCCCCGCCCCCAGGTCAAATGAGACTCTCAGCATGAATGTTTCAGCTGTCATATCATAAACCAAGTGCCCTTGACTATTTGGACTATCTATAGATCAGTGTGTGTGTGTGTGTGTGTGTGTGTGTGTGTGTGTGTGAGAGAGAGAGAGAGAGAGAGAGAGAGAAAGAGAGAGAGAGAGAAAGAGAGAGAGAGAGAGAGAGAGAGAGAGAGAGAGAGAGAGAGAGAGAGAGAGAGAGAGAGAGAGAGAGAGAGAGAGAGAGAGAGAGAGAGAAAGAGAGAGAGAGAGAGAGAGAGAGAGAGAGAGAGAGAGAGAGAGAGAGAGAAATTTCTGTTTACAATGCCCCCCATGCATAACGACATTACAGTGCTGTCTAGTGTTCTCAGGGCAAGAAGACTGTGATGTGCCCCAGAGAGACAATATACAGATTACATAAACTTGTTCTGGTACAAGTTGTGGTGCTGTTGACAGTGCGTGCTCAATGTTAATGAATTAACAACATATAGTAAGTTAGTTGTCTTTAAACAGAAACTCACATAAAACAGGTATGATCAGTCGATGAAAAAATTGCAGGAACCAAACTATCTCATTGGACGCAAGGCTTGCAGGAGCCAAACTCTTATTTTTAGGAGAAGCAATGTAAGCCCATGCTCCCTCCCTCTTTCCCAGAGCCACCTCAGGGCAGTTGATTTGCCAGACATTTTGTACAGAGCCCGGGGACGCCTTCCGCCGGCTGTGCAGGGTGGCCGGCAGGTGGCGCCCGGCCGCAAGCTGTCTGCAGAGCGTGTGGACCAGGTGGACTGGGAGGGGCGGAGGCAACCAGCAGCGGCCAGTGGAGGCGGCCCGCAGGCCCCCGCCCCCCGTACGCAAGCTCGCGACCCGCGCGCCTGGAGAGGGCGCTAGCAGCCGGGCCAGCTGCGATCCGAGCTCCCGCACCGCTGCCATCTGCTCTGCTAAGCGCCCGTGCGTCCCCGCCGCGCTCAGTTCGAAGTCGGCCACCATGGAAGCACAGGCTCAAGGTGAGTGGTCGCCGATCGCCCCTGGGATCAGGTCCTGGGACGCACATAAAGGCGCGTTTCCTGCATTATCTAACTTTGCGCTGTATAAACGGGTTGGTGCCATCCTACGCGTCCGGAACTCCGGTCCTACGCTCGCCTTCGCGATAATGCTCTCCAAACTCAGGATTTGCTGTGGGCATGGGGATGAGTGAGGAGCTGGGGATCAATAAGTGGGGCGATCAGCCTGAAGGAAATGCGCCCTTGGAATGCGCTACTTCTTCCCGCAGCCTGTCGCTCTCCGCTTTCCAACCCCCCCCCACCCCGCCCCACCTCCCCAACCAGCCCCACCTCCCCAACCACGTCCTCAATCTGGCGGATGCCCAAAGGACCTGTTGTGCAGGGCCCGGGATCTTTTTCCCTCTCCCTCCCGGAGTGAAGAGCAAGGGTGGCTTTTCGGAACCCAGGCGGTGGGCTCGTGTCTTTGGGTTCCTAACTGAGGAAGGGAGAGGGAGTGACAGGGTCGCGCGATGAGGTGGTGGCTCCGCAGAGACTCAGTCCCCACTGTGCTAGGGACTTCCCACGCGGTGACCAGCCTGCAGAGCCCAAGTGAGGGTCACCAGCCTCCTGACCTCCAACTGATAGACACGTGTGTCCGGGTTTCGCGGAATCAGGGTCTGGCCTCACGAAGGGTGGTTTATCTTGAGGTCATACTTGGACCAGGGTTGGGGAAACTCTAGTATCATTCAAGGGTCAGAGGTGGGTGAATATGGAATGAGAGAAAGGTAAGAAGAAAACTGACTTAAGAGCAACACCCATAAGAAATGCGCTGTAGAGTTCAGACTTTAACGCATTCGGGACCACATTCCTTCACCCTAAGGATTTCTTTCATGCCATTTAATACAAATAAAAGCATGTTTAAAAAAAAAAAAGAAGAAGTTTATGACCCCACGCACTGCCTATCTAGGGGCAGAAGCGGTTCAGCAGTGTGTGGGCCTGGAGTCACCGAACCGGTTTGCTGCCAGGATTACAATAGTCTGAACAGAATGAGCCTCCTTGGTTCCTTCAGCCAAGAGCTTGTCCAGAAAGCCACCGCTTCCAGTATTTCCCCCTATTATCTAAATAGAAAAGGAGAATTCAGCCAAAGGTAGAAGTTGTAGCTGTTAAAGAAACAGTTATTCAGTGATTTTGTGGCACTTTAAGGAAGATTTTGGGACAGTGGAAATAATTGTAGGAACCCAGTGCAAAGCAACGAAAGAGATTGGGCTCAATTTCAAATAGGGCATGTACAAGTGAAAATGTATAGCCAATGAGCCATGGGGTCATTGGTCCAGTGTGGGGTCACTGGATGGAAAACTACTAAGGGAGAACCCCAGGGTCAGGAGACTGCTGGTTAAACAGGATTCTTCCTGAAGACAAGCCAGTGTTGTCACACATAGGGAGTGGGATATAGGATGAGGAGCCCGACCAGGTATAGGGAATGATCAGGTTTGGAAGATGAGCCATAGTGGTCTGGCTAAACTGATTTAGCAAACTTCTTTGCTAAAACTGTATAATACAAGGATGTACATAGATGGGCCTTGGAGAGGGTTCAGCAGAGCCTCTTCGATATTGGTCAAATTCAAAAGTCAAGGTCCAGTTGGAAGCCTTCACACCTGAACTGAAGCAGGTGGGAACAACAGTGGAGCTTTCCATCTTGACTTGCAGATTAGATTTATTTGAAGAGTCATAAATACATTTATCCCTCCATAAGGTTCTAGGAACCCCCCCCCCTCGAAGATACCAAAATCCAAGGATGCTCAAGTCTCTGTGTAAAATGGTATAGTATTTGATAGACTACACACAAATTCCTGTATACTTTGGTCTCTAGATTACTTATAATACCGAATTTGATGAAAATGTCGTGTAAATAGCCATTATATTGTATTCTTTAGGAAATGATGATAATGGGAAAAAGTCTGCACATGTTCAGACAATTTTCTTTTCCAAATATGTTTGCTCAGATACATTTGGAGAGCCAAGTGGACTAACACTGGCCAACCCCATATCAACCAAACTAGATTCCTGGAATCCCTGGAGAACAATCATAGGTATACTTGAAAGCTTCCCAGGCAATTCTGTTATTTGATGAGGTTGGAGAAGAACTTGTGTAAATAAAAAAAAGTTCACGCACATTCCAAAAACATCTGAAACTACAGATGGGAAACCACTGTTGTCACTGGTTTGCTTGGCTTGTGAGCAAATATTTCAGTGTTTTCCTTTCCAAGCACCGTGCTAGGAAGAGCAAAAATGAACTTGACTTTTGCTACATGAAACTTACAGTAGAGGAAGAGACAGACATTAACTTGCTAGTTAGATAATAAATTAAAATGTCAAATTGCCACGTGTTAACAGTAGGAAAGAGGTCCACAGAGTATGGTGAGGGCATAAAAGACTTTAAGCCTAGTAGACTATAATCAGAATAGCTCAGGTTGTTTATTGTGTCCCTGTCTCTATTCTCAGTTCTTTATCTGCATTGACTCATTTCATGTGCACAGTATCCCATGAAGTGGGTAGAGTTCCTTGTTTACTGCCAAACAGGTAATGAGTAGCAAAGCTAATACTGTGAGTGGTTTTTCCACTCAGACCCTATGACTTTTAGAGGACAGATAAAACTTAAGGCCTACCTACCTCTCTAGCTGCCCTTTGGCCCTCTTCCCCTTCCCCTCGTAGTCATGAGGATGGAACTTTTATGGGTGGGGCAAACTAAATGGCTGTTTGTCTCTTAGATTCTATCTGGAATGGGAATGGTTTTTCTTTCTACCTCTATTCATCTCTTAATCTAAAGACAAACATAGATGTATGCAGTTAAGCAGGTATGTACTGACTACATGTCCCCTTGTTCTAGGCAGGTACTATGACATTATTTGCACTTATACTTCAGCAGTGGGTCCTAGAAACTTTCCATGAGTGAAAGCATAAAAATGTGTTCTTTGTTTTTGTGAAATAGATGACTTCCAGCACAATAAGAAGACATTCTAGGGAACTGGTAGGATGGAAGACAGGGGGATTGTGAGTAGAGTGGTTCAGTGAGAAGAGTCTGGAGAACAGACTGGAATGGGAACCCCACAGGAGGACATTTCCCATTGTTTTCCATTGGAACTGGAGAATTCTACTTTCATATAATTGATAAGCATACAGTCCCTGACTTAAGATGGCTCCACTGAAGGTTTTTCTATTTCACAATGGTGCAAAAGTGATACAAATTCAGTACAATACATTGAATTTTTATCTTTTCCCAGGCTTGTGATGACGCAGATGGTATTAGATATGGTTTACATATAGTGTTCCCCAAATCTTTCATTGTTCCCAGTTGGTAGATTGGATCATGAGGTCTCAGACCTAAACAATGGATTGATTCATCAATGGATCCATAATTTGGCAACATTTTGGGGAGGTGATTTCTGATTGAAAGAAGTAGGTCATGTGGGGAGGGGTCTCTAGCCCCTTCCTGTCTTTTGCTCTGCTTCCCGGCTACCACAAGGTAAGCAATTTTCTCTACCACATGCTAATGTTGGCTTCACCACAGGCCCACAGCAATGGAGCAAGCTAACCATGGACTGAAATCTCTGAAATCAAGAGCCAAAATAAATCTTTCCTCCCTCCAGTTGTTTTCTCAGGTATTTTGTCACTAGGATGAGAAACTGACTAACTCAGTGTCCTCTCCTAATGCTGAACAGTGGCATCCAACTCTAGCTCCTGTCAGTCACATGATCACAAGGGGAGCCAGCTGACACTCTACAGTGGACACTGTTGCTAAGCCATGATGTGTGAAAATTAGGCAGATGAAAAGCATTTTTGATTCATGGTATTTTTGATTTGTGATGGGTATATTGGGGCATATCCCCACAGTAACTAGAGAAAACCTGTAGTAGAATTTGGTTAGGAATTCACGTTTTTCCTGAAATGTGGCAGTCGTTAAAAATAAAAACATCCTGATACTTTTAAGCTATGATTTAATATTTTATTATTCTAAGTGGAAATGGCTTCATTTGCATCTCCCAAAGGCTTTAATAATAAAAGGAAATCTCTGCATTCAACACTGTATATATTCAAATTAATAGCTATGTTAGTTTCCTGTAGCTACTGTTGCAAATTACCACAAATATTGTAGCTAAAAATAACAGAAATTTATTTCATGTTTCTGGAGACCAGAGGTTCCAAAACTGTTGTCACTGTGTCAAAGTTCCGGAGTTGCCAACGTCTGAACTCCCTCTTAAGGTTCTAAGAAAGAACCTGCTCCTTGCCTCTTCTAGCTTCTGGTGGCTGCCAGCATTCTTTGACCATATCACTTGGTCTTGGCTTCAGTGGTCACATTGCTTTCTCCTCTTCTGTCTCTGTCTCTCCTCTCCCTTTCTTCTTTCTCTCTCTCTCTCTCTTCTCTCTCCCTCTCCTCCCCCAACCCCAGAGAAAACTGGGATTGCGATGGAGGCTCTTTCCCATCTCAAGATCTTTTACTTACCATATCTTTAAAGACCATGTTTCCATATAAATTAACATTTACAGGGTCCAGAGCTGAGGACCTAACATCTTTGGGGCCCATTATTCAACCTACTACAATAACATTTAACCCAGGAAAATTCTCAAAATGTCCACGAATTCTCAAAAGTCTATGAATGACATAAAGTAATAAATATTGGATTATTCCTGTTTGCAAATCCTATTAAAATGACAATGTCATATTACCTTCCTTTATACTTTGCCCATGGAACATTTATTTACTCTCAACTTGTTCCAAGAATGACTTTATTCCATTTATGTGGATATATAAAACACAGCAAGTTAAGATAAATTAAAAATAGATGAAAGACAATAAACAAGGATATGAACAAAAATTGAAGCATGCAACTGTAACATTTTTATTGCAATTAAATGGAAAATGAATTCTTGCTTTGTAGACAAAGTATGCTATTTTGTTACAAAATAATGAAACAGTTCCTCCTTCTCCAGCCAAAGAGCAACAGGTCTAGTCCCTTACAGGGATC